ATTAGTCAGAGACTCTTGGAAAGAAGATAAGTGAATAAACCCATTTTGTCAATTACACATCAAATTATATCTAATAAGACAAAAATTTTAAAATATATTCTTAATAAAAAAGACATAGCAGATGTGCCCTAAGGGTCTCAAATACAATACCCCTGTACATGGAAGCAGTGATTTCTACTACATAAAGCTTCCCTAATGAGCCAAATGATCTCAAAGATCAGGATGGTTGCCAGTGGCACTAATAACTGAACACACTGGTTGATAAGATGTGCAGAACAGCATCACTGTGATTGCAAAGACCCAGAGAGGCATGAGCAGGACCGAGGCGGCTCTCTACACCAATTTCTGGCTAGGCAGAGTTTGGGTTAATGACAAGCAGGAGTGAAAGAGATAGTTACTGGGTGCACATACTACTCCTCTTCCTGTGCCATCACTGCTGACCGCTAGAAGTAACATTAAGTGGTTACAGTAGATAACAGAGCAGAATCCTAAAGCCAATGTTAAGGCTGTGGCTCAAAATTTAGTCACAAACTTACTTTATTTTGAGGCTGATAAAATTAAATGCACTTTCTAAAGTTATTATAAAATTGTCAACCACTGAAAAAAGAGAAAAATGTTCACAAGGTATTCATTAATAAGTGAATGAAGTTGTAAGGGAGCTCTGGTGGCTGAGTGCGGAAAAGAGCTGTTGCCACACTAAAGGCACACACAGTTTGAATCTACCAGCTAAACTGTTCACAGGACAAAGATGGCCCATGTCCTCCTCTATAATCTACTGCTTCTGAAAATCCACTGGAAGGTCAGTTATGAGTTGTTCCTGACTCAACAGTACACAGCATCATGATTCTTGGGAGGAGGTTGTCTATGCTAATTTTTAAAAAGTTAGTTAGACATATACAAAAGCATTACTAATAAGCTGTAAGGGTATATAGCAATTTTTATTTTCTTCTTTGTGCATATCTGTATTTTCCACAAATCCTGCAACAGATATGTTCCTTATTTTTATAAGAAGGAAAACAAATGCTACTTTTTTAAAAAAATGGAATATGCTCTTGAATTCTCTATAAGTTAAAACTTCAAGAGAAATGGCAAAATGATTACAAATAAATAAACCATCAAAATCTATAAAAGCAAAATAGAAGACCACAAAGCTGGATCATTTCAATCAAATACAATGCCAATCTCTAAGCCACCCTAATGACTCACCGGCTATCACGGTCCCACAGGAGTATCCGTATGTGATTGATGATGGACGGCTGACCTAACTTAATCTCGATGCCAGAACGGCAATCGTCATCAATTGGGTGTCTAGAAAATCCATGATCCAAATCATAATTTTGAGTATCACCATCTAATAGTGCAGATTTCAGCTCCCCTTTTACAACCTGGGCTCCATATTTCATAGTCGCAATGTTTTCTTCTGGTACTATAATAAAAAATTTTAAAAAAGATAAAGTTAATGGTTAATTATGAAATTATTGTATATGAGTTTTACTGAGGGGGAACTAGCATTCAGTTAATTTAGCATCTGCATTTAATTTGAAAATGGCAGAGACACCCCTGAGGTGACAGAAGATATGGAGTATCTATGAGGATTAAGATCCCATCAGTCTAAATTTAATACTGCTATCACAAAGCAATGTGTTTAGCACTAAAGTTACTTTTAAATACCTAGAATTCCTAGAAAGAAATGAGTACTAGGTCAAATGAATCAGCTTGCACAAGTCTGTTCTATGAGTAGCTTTAACAACTACTGGACAAAAAGATGATCTGTATCTGCCATCTGGACCTGAGGCATTTGTTGCAGAAGGTCAAGGATTGCGGCCTTCAATATGGATTTGATGCTCAACATCAAGAAAACAAAAATTCACACCACTGGGCCAATTGATAACATCACAATAGAGAGGAGATTAAGATTGTTAACACGTTGCCACAAATGATGGCAAATGTGTATCTAAGCACGGTCACCAATTTTAAAAGTGTGTGGCAACATGTTAATAGCTTCAGTTTGCTTGGCTCTACAATCAACACTCTCGGTACCAGCAGTTAGGAAATGAAAAGATGAATTGCACTGAGAAAATCTGCTGTCAGGGACTTCTCCAGAGTATTGAAGAGCAATGATGGTAGTCTAGAGACTAAGGTGTGCCTGATAACAGGTCATGGTCTTCGAAATTACTTGCTATGCATCAGAGAGCTGGACAATGAGGAAGCAAGAAAGAAGACTTAATGCCTTTGAGTTGTGGTGCTAGAAAGGAGTACTGAATATACCATGGACTGCTAAGAGAACAAATAGGTCTGTCCAGGAGAGAATAAAGTTAAGCTTCTCCTTGGAGGCAAAAAGTCTAAGGCTCTGCCTGACATACTTAGTTCATGTTGCCCTAAGTGACTAGACCTTGGAGAAGGACATATACTTGGAAAGGCGGAGGGGCAGTGCAAGAGTAAAAGATACTAGATGACTGACTCAGTTACTGGGGTAATGGGAGTAGGTGTGTCAGAGACAATGAATTTGGCTCAAGATAGAGCAGGGTTCAGAGCAGTTGTACATAGGATTGCTATGAGTCACAAGCAACTCGAGAGCACAAAACAACAACATAAACACAAAGTAGGTAATTGAACATTCATTTGCCAAAAAGAAAAGAACAATTCTAATTCAGTATAGTTATCTATCTATGTATATATACAGATGTGTTCAATCAACTTACCTAACTAATAAAATAAAAACATGTTTAAGAGGTTTGGAGTTTTGTTTTTTCACCTGATTGATGAATTTTTAAAGATGAAAATTGAGTCTGTCATCAAAAGCATCATTATGGTTATTACTAAACCCTCTCTCCTCTATTAAGTAGTTTTATTAAGGATCAATCTTTCCTTGGGCTCTGAAGCAATCTGTGCAATGCTAGTTATGTTTATGATATGGAACTTGCTCTCCAGGTACTAACACTCTAAAATTGACACTCTCCACAGCAAAACAAGAGGCAATACAGAGCAGACGGTAACAGCCTGTGTTTCAAGAGAGTTTAAACACTGACGCCCGTTTTGACCAGATGAATTACTCTGGGGAAGTGACCATTTCTGAGCTTCTATTTCTTAAAAAGGGAACTCTAGTGATCTACTGGGTAAGGAGTTGTGCTGTTAACCCAAAGGCAGGCAGATTGAATCCACAAGCAGCTCCACAGGAGAAAGCTTGGCAACCTCCTTCAGTGTGACTTACAGTCTCTGAAAACATGTTGGAGGGACAGCTACAAGTGAGTTTCAACTCAAAGGAAATGAGAGATATTCCTCAGCAGGGTATTAATATCTTTCAGCTTCCTAACAGGTTACCCACTACATCACAATCAACAATAGTTTTAATTTTGTTTTTAATTTATTTAATGAATTTCTTCTGAGTTAAGCACTACTAGGCATCTGAGAGTGCAACAGTGAATAAAGATGACAAAAGAAAGACTGATTCCTTTGAGTTGTGGTGCTGGAAAAGAGTACTGGTCTATGGATTGCCAAGAGAACAAATACATCTTAGAGAATGCACAGCCAGGGTGCTCCTTAGAGGGAAGGATGGTGAAACTTCTTCTCACACACTTTGCACATATTGTTAGGAGGAGCCAGTGTTGGAAAAGGCCATCATATTCAGAAAAGTAGAGGGTCAGCAAAGGCAGAGAAGACTCTAAACAAAATGGACTGACATAGTGACCTTAACAACAGGCTGGTAGAGTTGATGAGGCTGGCACAGAAGAAGGCATGGTTCAGACTGGTGGTTCAAGGGGTCATTGTGAGTCCCAGTCAACTTGGTGGCATCTGCCTAACAACAACAAATATCTATTTCCTGGAGGTAAGGAAGTGAAGCAGAAAAGGCTATTTGGATTTGCATGCCCCAAAGTCAGCAAGTACAGAGTTGTAACACCGAGGGAGCCTGTCTGCTGGGGTCCTTCTCTGTTGACACAATGCTTTACCCACTTCCTCATCAGTTTTTTTATCCAATCACCATATTGTCTCCCTTTTTCTTTTTCCCAGCTTCTTAAGTTTACCAACACAGCATGAGAAAGAATGGTGGGCTTACGTGAGAAGGTTAATATTGAAACTTAGGATCGACCACTTAATACTCCTGACTGCCCCCGCTTAAGACTCTCTGAATCTGGTTTCTTATCTAAAGATAATACTTTGCCAAACTCACTTCGTATATTGTAAAAATTCTATAAGAAAAACAATATATGGTCAAATACTACGTAAGGAGCTCTACGTGGCACAGTTCACAGTGTGTTGCACTGCTAACCAAAAGTCACAAGTCTCCAGCAGTTCAAATCTACGAGCTGCTCCTTGAGAGATGAGCAATCTCTTCCTGTTAAGAAGTATAAGTCTCAAGAACCACTGGAGGACGTGTTTCCTATTGCCAAAGGGGCCCTTTAGAATAGTGAGAGAAGATCTTCACCCTGAAACCTACAGCGTCCATTTTCAGCAGGAAGTAGCTAAGAGAATACGCGGCCCCTTTTCCTTATGAATCAGGATGAAGTCTCTCTCAGGGAGGAGTGATAGGGAATGGCAAAGGACACACTGACAAAGGAGATTAATCAGAACTGGCTTTGACAAGCACTGTGGCA